AAGAGGAGAAGCGAAGAGTTTTGAATTCTGAACTCACCAATTACTGGGCTACTCATCAGCGACCAGAGGACTCTCGTGATGCTGATCTTAAATTTGGCCTGAAGGGGGCATTCAAGATCGCCATTCCAGAGAATGAGCTAGGGCCTGCCAGTATGCAAATCTTTAAGGTAGGGCAGCTCTGACAAAGCAGGGGATTTGTAAGCTTTAAAGACCGGGAGGGGGTCCAGCTAATGGTTAAATGTGTAATATTGTTACCTCTTATGGTCATCTGTCCTTGTTTCATGCACAGGGAGAGGGTGTTGGAGAGGAGCTGAGGATGAGAGAACAAATAAGAAAGACAGAACGAGATCTGCGAGCACAGATGGATGAGAATGAAAAACGGCACATGCGAGACAAGCACATAGGTGAAAAGAGACACACACAAGTACACACATTCACTAGCATTCCTAATGAGTTTACATCCTTTACTCTACAACTCTGTACATCACACACATGCTTCATGCTTTCCTGCACAAACAATCATACACTCCCATGCACAGCCCTTATTACCAGGTGACAGTGATGGATGCTTATCCCTAAGAGCTTTACTGTAAGTGTGAAGTGTGCAGTTAAAGAGCCAAATACAACAGCTAATGCAGGTGTGGAAAAACACACGTCAGATGATCCCCAAATCATGTGTGTCACAGAGATGCTTGTGAGCAAAGAGCTGGTGCAACAAGACGCGAGAGGGGCTCAACAAGCTGCCCTCGAGGAGGCGTGTAAGAGAGCTACCCGCATCGCGCTCGAGAACTACAACCAGGCTCTGGTACAGTATATGTGCGCACTCACAGATGGACAAACAGATACGCACACACATCACTCACTAATGTGAATGCTCAAGGCAAAATCTAAGGGGGGTGGGGGGTGGGAAGGGGCAAGCTGTGACATGATGTTGTCATGTGGGAATTGCAAGCTGAAAATGTCAAATGATGCATGCACACACTTGGTGCAGGATGGCAGCAATCATATTATTTGGCACCAGGCAACATGGATGGTTAAACGGCTTTGATGTATGCATGGTTACTGTCTGTTTTTAAAAGCCTCCATTTAGCTCTTCCCTCATTTGCCTGAATGCACTCGGCTGAATCCCCCATCGGGAGGCATCATTGTAAATCCTTCAGGTCACTGTACTTTTTCATAGTGTTTAGTGGTTTCACTAATAACCACTCATGATGCACAAGCACATACAGCTGACTGAGTGGCTCTCTCAGGGCGACGTTCGCCATATGGCTGACTGGTAGCTCTATGCTAGGAGTAACCACATTTTAGAGACGAGGTTTTGCAATGCTTCTGAATCATCAGTCATCAGTGGGATGATCAATTAACTGTCCCTGGATCTGTGTTAAAGCCTCACCATGTCCTGTACACACAGGCTAAAGAGCAAGCAGAGAAACTGGAGGAGCAACGCAAGAGAGAGGAACAGCAAAATCTGGCAGAGATGTGGCATACAATGACATCTGACATGATGACAGAGTGTGCAGAGGCAACAGAGAGACAGGTGGGAGGAGGGAGGCCACCACAGGTTCTACCAGACAGGTGGAAAGGAATGAGCCCTGATCAGCTGAAAAGCATTCAGCAGGACAGAGAACAACAATGCCTTGAGAGACAGGTATTACACTCGGTACTCCACAGTAATGTAGTCAAAGCTGCACACGGTATTCCATATATGTTATGTAGAATACCATGTCCACGTAATCCCTTGAGTACAGAGGTGGCCAGGAGGGCAATTGGGCGGGGCAAGTACTTGTGCTTTGGCACTGCATGTGTGGATTTAAAATTAGTGTTTTCTTTTTTATTATTTTTTATTTAATTCAGCAGCAATTCTCAACAGCAGTCACATCAAAGCACTTTATATTGTAGGTTAAAGACCCTAAAATATTAGTTAAATAAACAACAACAATGGGACAGAAAAACTCTTGTTGAACCTTAGACAGAACCAGGCTCAGGGAGGGGCAGCCATCTGCCGCGACCATTTTGGGATGAAGGGAAAGAGTTTTTCACATCTGTGCCAACTTTTCTACACAGGTTGTTTTCAAAAAACATAAGACGGGAATGTGAAAACTACAAAGTCTGTAATCACTAGAGGTGGGAATCACCATACATCCCACGATACAATATTATCACAATATTTAACGCACGATACGATATTATTGCAATTTTTAAAAATATTTTGCGATATTCAGATTCTGTACATAAAGGTAAACTTTATCAATATTCATTTTCTCTAATATCAAAGTCTCACACTCAGTCTTTCTCTCATTTCAGTTTTATTGTTGACAAACTGAACGGTTTGTATTACAGTCTAGTCCAACTTAACTGAATCAACCATCTGGTACAATTATAGCTATTCTGAACTATGCAGGTTATGAAAACTATGCAGCCCCTTCAGCAACTGAAGAATTTGAAAGTTAATTAAAACAAAATATAATTTTACATTAAATAAAAAAGTTTTAAACTCAATTAAAATAAAACATGTCTTAAATTAAAATAAGTAAACTGTCATGTTTATTGCTGCCAAAAAAAAGTTAAACACATTTGGACAGTGAAGGAATGTCAGGATTCTTGCTGAGAAAAAGGATCAACATGCTCTGAAGTCAGAGCACAAAAACCTTTTTTGTAACAAAATATCGATTTCTGCTGTCCCTGTATCCATACATTATTAGCAAACAAAATATCACCATGCTACACAGTATCCATTTTTTCCCCCACCCCTAGTAATCACAAGTAAAAACAACCAAAAAAGCAACAGTGCAATATTACTAGTAAAAATATACATGTATATGAGATCTACACCTTCAGTCCATAAAATAGAGAAATATATTAAGATAATTAAAACTATTGACAGATGAGTATAAATGATCATTTAAAACCAATAAAATAAGTAGAATTAAAGTTCATAAAACAAAAAGAAATAAATAACTAAACTAAAATACTTTAAAAAATACATTAAAATACTAATATCAGTCATTATTAAAGCAGAGTTAAGGGAGTCACCTGCTGACAACAGTCATGAAGGGGATGTCGTGTGTTGTCCAGTATGTTTAGCAGTTTGTGCAACATCCTGCTCTTAATAACTTCCTCTAGGGGCTTCAGGCTGGTCCCCAGCACAGACTCAGCCTTTAATCAGCTTGTTCAGCTTTCCAGCGTCACTGGCTCTGACGCTGCCACCCCAAAACAAACCTACAAAGAAGATTGCACTAGCAGTAACAGACAATAGTGTTTTACTGAATTCAGTAAATGACCCAGAAAGCCTCAGTGTTGCATTTCCAGTCCAGTCTGTTATTGATGTGAATACCCAGGTTTTTGTAGCTCTTCTCCCACAGTGGAAATGGTGTTCAACTTAGGTTTGTCCCTCCTTTTTGTGTTGTTTTACACACTGCAAATGTTGGAGTACTCCTGATGTGATTCAGAAGGTTGTTTCAGCAGCGAATCAGAAAAGATTAAAGCCACATCACCAGTGTTGCTTAAGACTCTGTAAATAATCCATGAGGTTTGCGCGTAGCTTACTAGCTTGTCAGATAGATATTGAGGTCGCAAACATTGCGTCACCTTAAAAAAGCACTAACATTTAAAAATCAACTCTAAAACTAGTTGGAGGCTAGTAAATGTTACAGGAGCACTACTAGTGTCCATCAAGCCAGCGGTGCTCAAACCAGCATCCAGGCACTGAAAGTTGGTTTGAACAAGTAATAAAACGTCTTATTTTAGTGTGCTGGAGATATTTAAAAAATATACCAGTGTATATCAGTTTTCTCCTTATTCAGGATGATGGTATCTTTTTAGTCTTTCTAGTGTACTAAAATAAGGCCCCAAACTTTCCATTAGTGCCTGGACCTGGATTAACGTGATCAACATTGATTTCAAGATGCAATAGTGGCGAGAATAAGCATGAACATAAAGTGCTAACACAGAAAAAATCATTTGGGTGGATCCAGTTACTAAGCCATAAGACCTCCAGCAGATTATTTGGCTCTGAAGCTTTGCATTTTTCAGTGTTATCTACATGCATGTTAAAGTCACCCAAAATCAGCATGAAAGTCTGGGAACCTAAATCATAATGAAGCAGAATTGCCTTTAGGAGAACAAGTCTAGTGCGTTTTTAGATTTATTTCCTCTCTGCCTTCAGAAACAGCGAGATGCTGAAAAGATCCGTGAAGCAGCTTGGGATCTGAAGCTGCTGAAGCTGTCCAGAGAAGCCGAGAAGGAGGACCTGAGAGCAGCCGAGCTGAGTAGAGAGCGGAGAATTCAGATGGACCGCTACAACGTGCAGCTGGCCCGAGAGCAGCTGGCACAGTAAGCACTGCGCACATATTCACACACTTTCTGATTAGACACTAATCAGCAAATGTGTTTTAGGCTTAGGTGATAAAATATGGAAATATAGATTTCAGATTTTATAAACATTTCGGGGGACAAGCTACTTACTGTGTTCAAATTTCTGTTTCCTCCCCAGGCAAGAGTACCTGAATAAGAGACTGTACACCAACAAACCCACCAAGGACTACTTTTATCAATTCAACACCAGCTCCCGCTGACTGCCAATGAGCTGACATTAGCTTGTCCTCCTGTGGCATTGGGCTAAATAAACCTGGTTAATCAATGAATCAGTGTGAACTGGATGAACATTAATCATAACATAAGTGACATAGATTTCCTCCCGATTAACACGGTTATTTCTGATTAGTGACAAAAAATGGGAGCCTGTTTTGGTACAGATTGTTCCACGTACTTTATTTTTCAGTCATATATCCAGTTACAGCAGTAGCTTCATAATGCAGTTACAATATTGGCCCCAAAAGTGGCAGAAGACCCACAGCTCCAGTCATCCACCCACGACAAATATAGGCATCATCTTGTGCTAATACTGCACCCCACACTCTGTGAAGAGGCATATCATCCCCAGCAGTGGCGCACACCCCCTGGCCTCCCGTGCCCCTTCTGTTTCGTCTTACTTCCACTTAAAATGTCTGTTTTTGAGTCCTAGAGAAGCTTCTCTACACAAACCAATTCATTTTCAATCGATTTTTCTTCTTTAGCTATATAAAAAAAGAAAGAACAACCACAGTGAGAAAGCAAAGGCCAGCATCCCCAGGTTTCCCCTACAAAACATGAAAAGCAAAGAGTGAGCGGCAGTCGAGTGAGTATCTGTGTGTGTACACTCATTCCTCATTCAGAGCTAACATTTGCCCCCAAACACTGACACACAGTTGTTTAGCAGCAGATAGTTGAGTTAGAATATTGGCATATCTTGCGTCATTCGTCGCTCCTGTATGAAAATAGATTTTTTTTTTAAAAGCTTTATTTGTCCTGAGTGTGTCTGTTTAACCAACAACAGGGAGCTTACACAAACCTCCTTCAGTGCCACTGGCCTCTTTAGACATCTCATATTCTACCTGGGAGGCTACGGTTGATATTTGGCCAGTGGCGAGCTTTTGTTTGAGAAGGGAGAGTATCGCGTTTAAGTGTTCCCTGTGGCTCACTGCATTTCTGCCCCGCACAACTTCATCAGACAAAAACTCCACAGATATTCACTGCACTGCATTGCTGGATGATTAAGGGCACGAGCGCAATCCTAGCTTAAATTGTAATGTAACTACTTTCACTAAGTGACACTAAATTGACTCTTTTTTTTTCTGTTTTTCAAATTTTGATATGTTTGCAAAAACATCTACATAACAATGTGATTTTTTTTTTCCTTTTTTATTTTTTTCTCCTTTATTCAACTATGGAGTATGTTTTTGCTACACCCAAATCTCACTGTGATCGTTTGTCGATGACAGAAAAGTCTGAATTCATAGCAAGAGTACAGAGAAGGAAAAAAACTACAATTTGCAACATTTTAAAATTAAGTGAAGTGGCTTTAAACCTGCACATTTTTCACATTTTCATATCAAACATGGTTCTGTAAGGGTTGTATTTACATTCAGAGGGAAAACAAATGGTCCCGGCTCTTCCTGTGACTTTACTCTCCTTTTACCTTTTTAGCTCAGATTATTTTCAGAAGCAAGTAAATACAGTGTCTGCCTAACCCTGAAAGGAATACATTCTCTGTTTGATATAAACAAATGGCAGCCTTTACAACTGTCAACAATATCAGCTTGCATTGAGGAAGGTTTGAAAATAAAACTTGAGAGAGTGTTCGCGCGCTAGACGCCACCCTCTTATCTGAAATATACATAAATACTGCACCTCAGGTTGTTTAGTATGAGATGAGCAGGTATGAAAGGTTGTTAATTAGAGACAATGTTTTAATACAGCGTAGAAAGAGACAAAGACAGCGATACAGAAAACTACACATAGGTCTCGACACACAAAAAAATTACAACATCGTTTTCAAAAATGACATTACACTTCTGGTGGGAAGGCGAGAGAGTAATGACATCAATCTGGTGCTTTATGCAGACCCAGCAGGCACAGGAACTTATAAGGATCTATAATACTGTAATATGGCTAAATAGATAAGTGTAGATGCAGCTATATACACCAGATGCTACTCAGCATTTTCACAGCAAGTTCCACTTAATGCATCCAAATAGTAAGAAACTTGGCTTCACTTGATTTCGTTGAAAACATGTTAATCTATGAAATGTGTCGTAGCTTTTTATATAAATAGTATAGAAAACAATGTGAAAAATGATTATGTAACAAAAAGTGACACAACAACAACAACAGCAACAAAAAAAATTGCGTTTTGTTTTTCAACCCGGTTTTTAAATTGAAAAAAATGTCACTGGCAAGTACAATCTGAGACATTAAATGGCAATTAGACAGACAAAATCATGTGGGAAGTACATCAAACATGATTCATATCTAAGATTCAAGATTTTTTTTTTTACAGCAGCATTAGCTGTCTTGCTCCCTACACTGGGTTCTACCATCATCCTTTACTTTTAATGCACTACTCTGCATCTTTACATGACCATACCTACACCCCCTGATATTTCTAACTGTACAACATTCTGTCTTTATGCATCTGCGCTGTTGTTTGCTGAGAGAACGAAAGAGGAGCTAGAGAAATGAATGTTAGTCGTTTTCATTAGTTGTAAACTGCACAGGAAAATGAAGGGAGGTCAAAGGGCATGTTCATGTCAGTCGGGCTTATATCGCTATCGCTGTCCACTACTTTGGACACTCCTTTGGTCAATATAGTTTAGTCAATCAGATGGCTGCCAGGGACATCTGAACATGATTGTTTATTAGTCGTCGAAGTACAGATCAGCAAGTCAGTAGGGAACAGGAGCATATGGGCACATACGTGTTGACATATTTTGGTCTGATGGTCCCCGGTGGATGTGTGGGGGTTAATCGAGGATGGTGACTGAGTTGGGCACGCCATTGGTGGCGGGAGAGAAGGTAGAGGGGTTCAGCGGGGCGTTCTCCGGCAGGCCGTGGAAACCTTCTGGACCGCCACTGGGACGACTGATCTGGCTGGCCAGAGACTCATCCATGTTGAGCTCTGTGGTCATGGCGCTGCTGCCATTGAAGTCGAGGTTGTCTTCGCTGTACAGCTTGCTCTTCTCACACAGAGACGGCTGGCTGGCTGTTCGCTTCTCCTCGAGATCACTGCAGCATGAAGAGCAGAAGAAATGTTAACATGATACATACGAAAAATGCAGTGCTACATGCCAAAGGTTGAATATTATGTACTAATATTTTAAGTAATTTTTTAAAAATAGTCGGTTCCAGGTTATAAATCGTGAATATTTGCTTTCTCACATTGCAGTGAGGTGAACAT